ACAGCGGCCCGAGGCAGCCAGGCTGGCGCGCCAGAGCGGCTGTGGGGCGGGTGTTGCCAGCTCGTAGCCGTTCTCTCCGCATCCCCCAATAAACAAACAAGCTGTAAAATGAGGAGGTGGAGCTTGGAAATGCTACCATCTCTGTGAAGAGCAGCCTGAGTTCAGCTGTTCCAGCCAGGGCTCTTGGGATGGGCTCCCAGCTGGCTGGGGGCTGTCTGTGGGTGTTCCTGTGACTGCCACGTGGTGGCACCAGAGGCCTCCCTTTGATGCCCCGGGACCCCTGCGGCCCGGTGTGGCCACATGACGTCATGGGGCCCTAAGATGCGGCTAAGTCTGCACTGAAAAGTGCTGTAAGTGTATAATACACGCTGGCTTTCAAAGACGTAGGATGGAAAAAGAATGTAAAACATTTATTATTTTTTATATTGATTACCTGCTGACATGATGTTTTAGATATATTAGCTTAAATAGATATATTATTAAAATGAATCTCACCTGTTTTCTTTCTTTTTTTTTTTTTTTTTTTTGAGACAGTGTCTCATTCTGTTGCCTTGGTTAGAGTATAGTGGCATCATCACGGCTCACTGCAACCTCTAACTCCTGGGCTCCAAGTGTCCTCTATGTACTCCAGCCTCCCGAGCAGCTGGGACTACAGGCGTGTGCCACCACACCCGGCTAATTTTTCTATTTTTTCGCTTATGCCCAGGCTGGTCTTGAACTTCTGGTCTCAAGCAATCCTCCTGCCTCGGCCTCCCAAAGTGCCGAAATTACAGGTTCACCGTGCCCAGCCTCTTTTTTTTTTTTTTTGAAGCGTCTTTACAGACAGAGCAACAGCAGAAGGGAAGTCAGTAAGAGCTCCTGGATCCAGCCATGCCTGAAACTACACACAGCTATCCTCAGACCTTTTAGTTACATGTGCTGAAAAGTTTGGAGATTAGCTTACTGTAATCCCAGAAGCCCTGAAGAACACCTGCGAATGGGAAGCAGGGTGGTAGAGGAAACCGCATCTTGCCACCAAGTGCCCTTGAGTTGGCCTGCCACGTTCTCCTGCGCAGGAAGTCAAATGGTAACAATACGCTCTCCCACAAGGGGGTGCAAGTGAGCTGCCCGCCGCACTGCGTGACATACAGTAAAGGCTGTGCCCTTTTCCCCATCGGGACTCCTGTCCCGCCCTTGAAAGGATTACTCTCTGGGAGTCCCCAGGGGCGCCGTACGAAGCAGTGGCTGCCTCCCCTTGTGTCTCTGCAGCGTGGTGAGTGACAAGACCTGTGCTTAGAA